TATTCGACGTGAGAAAGTGTGGAAAACTTAGGAGAAGATGGAAGGAGAAGAGGAAAAGGAAAATAGGAAAAAGGGAATTCAAAGGCAAGTAAAAGGTGAAGAAATATTATGTTTTGGAACATTACGGGTGTAAGTAATAAAAATAAAGATTTTTGGAACTATATAGACAAGTTTGATTTCATAAGCCTATGTGAAACATGGTTGGAAGAAAATGAGCGGAAAAAAGTTGAGGAGAAGTTACCTAGTTCACATAAATATATGCACATAGAGAAAATAGGGGGATTTATATTGGGCTGTTCGGAAAGTTCCGATTTTGAAGAAAAATTTAAACTCAGAAGATTTAAATTTTAATATACATTTATTAAATTTAAATCTTTTGCGGCACGAACTTTCCGAACAATCCAATAGTAGACATAAAGAAAAACTGGGCAGAGGAATTAAACTTGATATATAAAAATAAGGAAGGAATAGTAATGTCGATTATAAGTACAGGGGAGAAGAAGGTTATAATAATCGGTATACAACAGAAGTTGGAAAAATTTAAAAGAAAAGTTAGAAAGAATTCTAGGGGACATGGAAAATGAGGAAATAGTAATAGGTGGGGATTTTAATGTAAGAACAAGCGAATTAATGTTGAGTTGGAAGAAGAAGAAATAAAAAGGAGAAGTGATAGGAAACGGAGGAAAAGAGTTGGTAGAGTGGGACGGGGAATATGTTATAGGGATAGTACGGTTATTATGTAATTGCAAATGAAGGTATAAGAGAAAACATAAGGGAATTTGCGATAAGAAATAGGGTGGACTCGAATCACATGCCGTTGTTGCTTAGCATGGAAGGAGAAGAGAAGAGGCAGAATAAAGGAAGAGGAAAAAAGCAAGGAATAAAGGAGATAATTGTATGGAATGAACAGACTATAATAGAATAGATATTCATAATAGATATTCATCAAGAAAAGACAGAAATCTTAGCTAGCGAAGCAGATCAAAAAGAAATAATAATAAAGGAAAAATGACAGAGAATCAAGGAAATTGTGCATGGAGGAAGGTAGATGGAAATTTATAAACAAAAAAAAGTAAGAGGATGTGGAGAGATAATATCATTAAGATAGAGGAATGGAGGCAATATTTTATGAATCTTCTAAGTGATACTAAGGTAGATGCACTGGAAAAGGAGGAAATGGAGGCAAAAAATAGAGAAGAAGTACAGGAGGTAGAGGAATTGAAAGAGGAAGAAATTAGGGAGACACTAAAGAAAATGAAGAACAAGAAGACTATGGGATCCATGGAATATATAAATGGAATCCCGATGGAAGTGTGGAAATATGCGGAAGATACGTTATAGAAGGACATGATGGAATTATGGGGACAAGTTTGGAGACAAGGAGAGATAGAAGATTAGAGGCAAAGTATTATTGCCATTATATAAGAAAGGAGACACAGAATCAATAGGAAATAATAGAGGGATATCGTTATTGTGTACAGCGTAATGGTACGCGAAGATCCTAAGAATTAAATTGGAAGAAGAGGTAAGGAAGAAAAACATAATCCCGGAGATGCAAACAGAATTCAAAAAAGACTGGTCAACGATAACATATTTGTACTGAATCATCTGATTCAAAAGAACAAGCAGACAGAAGTTAGAGAGAGGAAAATATATGCTCTCTTTGCGGATCTGAAGACAGCTTTCGAATAGATAGAGGTATATTATGAGAGTTACTAAGCAGAATCAAAGAGTAGCTGATAAGGAGTGTATATATATGAGGACATGGAAGTTATGGTCAGAACAAACAGAGATTTGACAGAGAAGTTCCAGACAAGAAAAGGAGTTAGGCAGGGCTGTGTCCTGAGTCCACTCCTGTTTAATTTGTATATTGCGGATCTTGACAGAAGTTAAAAAATAGAAATATAGAAGAAGTTGCGGTAGATAGTAGAGATATGGAACTTAGTATATGCAGACGATAGTGCTGTTAGCGAAAAATAGGGCACTGTTAGACATGATAGATACACTAAGATTTTTAAAAGATAGGAAACTAGAACTATGTATTGAAAAAAACAAAGATAGTAGTAGGCATGAGAAGGAAGCAAATGCAAGGGTAGAGAGATTGAGGAAGTAGGCAATGTTTTAAATACTTAGGCTTTACTTTTAATAAAAAAAGTGATTATTATATGATTATGAAAATCATATAATAAAATTGAGCAGAAAAGGGAAGATGGCAGTTAACAAGGTATAAGATTTAGGGGAAAGATTGCAGAAACGATTTTATAAGGAAATGAATACTGTTTAAATACCAAGTACAAAGTGAAATATGGTTATGAAATATGGAGTAGAGATCTGGGGATGATGGAAGAAATAGGAAATCTGGAAAAAATTATGTTAGATTATGTGAGATGGATATTCAATGGATATTCACATAGAGTTTTGCACTCCGAGATATGCGATAATGAGAGAATTAGTTATGGACAAATTAAGGATAAAGGAATAAGAGTCATGAGATACGAGAAGAAATTAAAGAAAAGGAGACGGCTTACTTCGGTGTTGTTAGAAAGAAAAAGAAGATAAAAAGGATAGAAGGATGGAAGGATATATATATATATATAT